CAGCAGGAGAGACGCGGGAGCTGAGCAAGGCAGCCCGATCTGTTCCCCATGTAACAACCAGCACAACTAAGAAAAGGCGACAGATGATAGCCATAGATGACTCACCCATGCGCCAACCTGATGCACTCTCTAGAGAGGTGTGCTACTTACTGGGGGCTCGGATCAGGGATGTCACTGAGAGACTACCAACCCTTGTACAGTCCACTGACCATTATCCGCTGCTGTTGTTTCACATGTGCACCAGTGATACAGCCAGGAGCCATCTGAGGAGTATCAAGAAGGATTACAGAGCTCCGGGAGCGGTGGTAAAGGAGTCTAGAGTGCAGGTAGTTCTTTCATCAATCCTCCCAGTCAAAAGGAAGGGGTTCGAAAGAGCCAGTAAAATCTGGCAAATCAACAAATGGTCAGAGGACTGGTGCCACAGCCAGGGGTTTGGCTACTTAAGAACATGGAACTCCCTTTGAGAAATTTGGCCTACTGGTGGCTGATGTGGTCCATCTGTCAGGGAAAGGGAAGATCATCTTCAGTCACAGGCTGGTGAAGAGGGCTTTAAACTGAAGTCGCCAGGAGAGGGGAACCTCAATCCATCCCACTCCTACCAGTTTGATGCCAGTGCCAGCAACAGATGCCCAGAGCTGGGAAAAGGATCCCGGGTCAGCAGGAGAACACCTGAAGTACAGTACAAAGGAATTCCAGCCACTCCAGCCAGTCAGCTTCATTGGGGGCCCAACTTAAACGCCTCCATGCAAACGCATGTCGCTTGGGGAATAAACAAAAGGAGTTGGAACTGTGCGTACACCTGCAGGGCTACGATATTATCAGCATCACAGAAATGTGGTGGGATGGCTCCTATGACTGGTGTGTTGGAATAGAAGGATACAGGCTCTTCAGGAAGGACAGGCAGGGGAGATGAGGAGGGGGTGTTGCCCTCTATGTCAATGACCAGCTGGAGTGTATGGAGCTCTGCCTGGGGATGGATGAGGAGCTGACCAAGAGCTTATGGGTCAGGATTAAATGGAGGGCAGGGACACAGGACATTACAGTGGGGCTATCACTAGAGGCCACCTGACCAGAAAGACCAAGCGGGTGAGGCTCTCTATAGACAGATAGGAGCAGCCTCGCGTTCACAAGCCCTGGTCCTCATGGGGGACATCAGCCACCCCGATATCTGTTGGAGGGACAACACAGCAGGGCATAAGCAATCCAGGAGGTTCCTGGAATGCATTGATGATAACTTCCTTCTCTAAGTGATAAAGAAGCTCACGAGGAGAGGTGCCTTGCTGGACCTTATTCTCATCAACAAGGAAGGGCTGGTGGGGAATGCAAAGTTCAAGGGCAGCCTTGTCTGCAGTGACCATGAAATGGTGCAGTTCGGGATCCTTAGGGCAGCAAGGAGGGAGAACAGCAAGCTCACTACCCTGGACTTCAGCAGAGCAGACTTTGGCCTCTTCAGGGATCTGCTTGGTAGAATACCATGGGACAAAGCCCTGGCAGGAAGAGGGGCCCAAGAAAGCTGCTTAGTATTCAAGGATCACCTCCTCCAAGCTCCGGAACGATCCCAACAAAGAGGAAGTCAGGCAAAAACACCAGGAGGCCTGCATGGATGAACAGGGAGCTCCTGGGCAAAGTCAAACAAAAAAAGGTAGCCTACAGAGGGTGGAAGCAAGGGCAGGTAGCCTGGGAGGAATACAGAGAAACTGTCCAAGCAGCCAGGGATCAGGTTAGGAAAGCTAAAATCCTTATATAATTAAATCTGGCCAGGAACATCAAGAACAAGAAAAGTTTCTATAGGTACGTCAGCGATAAAAGGAAGACTAGGAAAAATGTGGGCCCTCTCCAGAATATGGAGAAGGCTGAGGGACTCATCAACTCCTTTGCCTCAGTTGTCACTGGCAAGTGCTCTAGGCACACCGCTCAAGTCACAGAAAGCAAGGGCAAGGACTGGGACAATGAAGAACCACCCACTGTAGCAGATAGGGTTTGCGACCATCTAAGGAACCTGAAAGTACACAAGTCCGTGGGACCTGATGAGATGCATCCACGGGTCCTGAGGGAACTAGTGGATGAAGTTGCTAAAACACTATCCATCCTACTTGAGAAGTCCTGGCAGACCAGTGAAGTTCCCACTGATTGGAAAAGGGGAAACATAACCCCCATTTTTAAAAAGAGAAAAAAGGAAGACCTGGGGAACTACAATCTCACCTCTCTGCCCAGCAAGATCATTGAGGAGATCCTCCTAGAAATTATGCTTAGGCACATAGAAAATAAGGAGGTGACTGGTGACAGCCAGCACAGCTTCACTAAGGGCAAATCGTGCTGAAAAACTTTGGTCGCCTGTCATGATGGGGTTACAATGTTGGTGGATAAGGGAAAGCAATGTCATCTACCAGGACTTGTCCAAAGCACTTGACACTGTCCCACATGACATCCTTGCCTCTAAGTTGGAGAGACATGGATTTGACAGATGGACCACTCGGTGGGTAAGGAATTGGCTGGATGGTCGCACTCAAAGAATTGTGGTCAATGGCTCAATGTCCGAGTGGAGATCAGTGACAAATGGTGTTCCTCAGGGGTTGGTACTGGGACCGGCACTGTTCAACATCGTTGTCAGTGACGTGGACATTGGGATTGAGTGCACCCTCAGCAAGTTTGCTAACAACACCAAGCTGAGTGGTGCCATTGACATGCTAGAGGGAAGGGATGCCACCCAGAGGGACCCCGACAGGATTGAGAGGTGGGCTCATGCAAACCTCATGAAGTTCAACAAGGCCAACTGCAAGGTCCTGCACATGGGTCAGAGCAATCCCAAGGACAACTACGGGCTGGGCAGGAAATGAATTGAGAGCAGCCCTGAGGAGAAGGACTCGGGGGTGTTGGTGGATGAGAACCTTAAGGTGAGCCGGCAGTGTGCGCTTGCAGCCCAGAAAGCCAACTGTATCCTGGGCTGCAATCAAAAGAAGTGTGACCAGTAGGTCAAGGGAGGGGATCCTGCCCCTCTACTCTGCTCTTGTGAGACCCCACCTGGAGTACTGCATCCAGCTCTGGGGCCCCAGTTCAAGAAGGACATGGAGCTGTTGGAGCGAGTCCAGAGGAGGGCCACGAAGATGACCTGAGGGCTGGAGCACCTCTCTTATGAAGACAGGCTGAGAGAGTTGGGGTTGTTCAGCCTGGAGAAGAGAAGGCTCCAGGGAGACCTTACAGCAGCCTTCCAGGACCTGAAGGGGCCTACAGGAAAGCTGGAGAGGAACTGTTTGCAAGGGCATGGAGTGACAGGACAAGGGGTAATGGCTTTAAGCTGAAGGAGGGTAGATTTAGACTAGATATTAGGAAGAAATTCTTCCCTGTGAGGGTGGTGAGGCACCGGCACAGGTTCCCCAGAGAGGTTGTGTCTGCCCCCTCCCTGGCAGTGTTCAAGGCCAGGTTGGATGGGGCTTTGGGCAACGTGGTCTAGTGGAGGGTGTCCCTGCCCATGGCAGGGGGGTTGGAACTAGATGGTCTTTAAGGACCCTTCCAAGCCATTCTATGATTCTATGATTCAAATACTTAAAGTTCTTCCAGGTTTCAGAGGTTTGTGTTATGTGAGAATGTCAATGAAGACAGAAATCTTTTTCAAAACTACCAGTCCCATCCATAACAGAGATTATTATACAAAAATCGCAAATACAAAGGTGGTCTGACTTTTTTAACTGGGCTGGATTATTGACTTGAGAACCACAAATAATTGTTCATTTATTCTTTTGTGACATTTCTGATGAAAAAGTTTCCAGTGGGTAGAAAAATAATTTTGATTTTTAGTAATCTTTTGTTTCCTCCCTAAAAGGTACCCTAACTACAAAAGTTATTTCGGTTGGCTCATTATTTTCTGGTTCTTCTGTAATAATACTTTATCTGAAAAATTCAGTTATGACACAGCATTAATGACACCATTAATTATGCACCATTGTTCCAAAGTAATTCTCATTATACATGAGAGGCAAAGTGGCAGCCACTTTCCTAAAATGGCACTCCAGTCGATATGTTTCAACTTAATAATATAATCTATTGCTATTCTGATTGGAAAAGTCCTTTGAAATGTAAAACTCTATTCTTTTCCAACTACCAAGGCACTATGCCTCAAAACTTCAAAGACCTTGAATGATACATACAGCTGACTTGCTAAAATGTCTCTCGTCTGCTAAGGAGCTTTAAAAAACTTGCTTATATCTTCATAGTGGCAAGAATTGCCAACCCAATGAGCCTAACCCAGTTTCCAGCCAGTTCTACAGTTCATCACTGCTCAAAAACATCTCAAAATCAAAGGAAAAAATTCTTCTTCAACAAGGTGAAAAAGAGTAGAAACTTTTTTCAAATACTTTAGGACTGCCCATGTGTAGGACTACCCATTCCAAATGATATCTGGGAATCTTTTCACAAAAGATATCAGTTTAACAAAAGTTAAATTATGTGAAAAAGATTAAGAAAAAGAGAATAAGCTTGCTTTCTTATTATTCTGATTTTGCTGAACTAACCCAGTTTGAAAAGAGAATAAGATGTTTGCAGAATCAACAGTGAATATAAGTACTTTAGATACTCAGTTCAGCTTCCTTTAACACTAGAATAGGCATAGAAAAATTACTATTAACAAATAGATCCCAGCTGTGCCAATAACATTTTAAAGATGAATACCCGATCAAACACACCATATGCAAGCTAGGAATATGATTCTGCAAGTCTTGGAATAGTCAGTCTAAATGTAAGTAAATAAAACATCACTATAGAAAAATATATGGGTTTAAGGTGTATGGCAAAAAAGCAGACTTAAAAAATCTTCTTGTCTTCTAAAGTATATTAAAATTTCTAACTAAAGATCCATATTAAAAATCTATTTAAAAAAATAAAAGAAAAAAATGAAAGACTCCTGTGAATTAAATCTCTTAGGCTGCTCTTACACTATCAAACAGGAATTACAAATGCAGGTGACTGTTTGTCAGACTTCATTTTTTGTACCTTTTAAACTTTAAATAAATTCTTTATAGTTACTATGAAAAAAAAACCAAACCCAAAAATAATTCCCAGTCTTAAACATAAATAATTATTCTATCTGCATTACTTTGTACAAAATGATTTTTTCAATAAGCAATGTCAACTTAAAACATATTCTGATATAGGGTACTGTTTCTGTATATTCCAACTGTCAACTAAAACATTTGATTCACTTGGCTGTTGTTGAAAACAAATTCACTGGAATTGTAAACAATGTTCTAGTATTTAAAAGCAAACAAACAAACAAAAAAAACTCCACAACCAAACAATAAAAGGAGAATACCTGACCACAGATGCAGACCATCAAAGCCATAGGAATACAAGTCATCACCAACACCATTTCCTCCCCATTCTGCTCCTCCCCCTGGATACGGTGAGTAGCCCTCTGTTGAAGCCCAGCCCACTCGTAGATGAGTAGATTCTGCAGTCACAAAGGGCTCTAGATGGTCCACCATAAGTTCATAGTACCATTTTCTGTATTGGGCAGAGCCTTCACTAATCCCCAAGAAGATGTTGGGTCGCATGCTTAAACAGAAAGAGTAAAAGTGGTTATTAAAAACTTATCTCAAAGAACATGATGAACCACTGCAGACTTTTCAATAAACGTAACTTTCATGCTTGTTTTGTGTAATTAGAACAATAAAAGTAATTTTATTGATTTGTTTACAGTGGTGAAAAATGTCCTATACACTTAAAGTAAAAAAGTGGTTTTTTCAGTAACTGAAACAGTATCTTCACTCAGATACCGATAATAATATTGAATGTGTTTGAACATTTAATAGATGTTAAATCTTATAAACAAAACCAGCAGCTATTCACCAGTTACCAATAGAAAGATAGTAAGTTCACTCTGCAGGTTTAATTTTACATAGCAAATTGCATTCTATAACATTGATTATCCATTCAAGAGAATAACATTTGTGAAGATACAAATGTAAAATGTCAATCTATTTCAAAATTCTCCTGTACCTCTTCCTTATTCCAAGTTTTGTATAACTCAGTAATTTGCAGTGGTTGTACCAATCCTTACTATCAATTTGATGTTCCTACTGCTGGTGATTTTAAAGTACTTCACAAGCATACTTGAAAAGGCAAAACTATTACTGTGCTTATTCAATATCTAGTTAAATAGCAATATGTAGGATAATACATTTAAAGGTCACAAGGAGGAAAAAAGGAAAGAAAATTATGCTTTTCTAATCTGATTTTTGGGTAATACTGAATCTAGAATCTCATGCCCCCCCCAAAAAAAATCTGTCTCCAGACAATCATTACTATCTCAGCTTTCTATTAAGAAAGCCATCCGATCTTGAATTAAAGCTGTAGAATACAGAAGTATCCAAAATCAATGCTAGGTATGTTTCCTCAGTGGTTGGTTACCTGTATTGCAAGAAATCTTTCAGACTTCTAGACTGAATGTATCTGGGTTTCACATCCCTCCACTGGATTGGGTTACAACTTCTATAAATATTTTCTTTCTACAGAGAAGCTGCCTAACCAGCACAAATGTAGCTCCAAGGCAGCCCCAGCACACAGTATGCCTTATGGTGTACAGAATGCAGGGGGAGGAAGAATGGTTGATATGGGCTGTTAAATACAAGTCAATGTAAAAACAGACTTTACTGATCTGACTGCTTATAAAATAACTTGGTTTATTACATAAGACTAACACACTTTCCTTCTAGAAGTATATGGGGTGTCTTTTGCCAAAAGTTTAAGTATAGATACTCCTCACTTTGTTACAAAGTCAAACATTTAATCTCCTTTAAAATATAAACAAGACCTGTTTGACAAAGCTATCCTCCAGAAAAATCAAATCATTTGTAAGTTATTGGTCAGATCACCAATTGAATATTTTCTGCTTGAACACAGTATCAGCATTATTCTACCTTTGTCCAGACTCCACAATTTAATCAACCTGATCATCCAACTTACTCTTTTTAATTGAGGTTTGTGAATGGAATTTGCCCGTCCCCTGGAAAAGTATGTTAACCAGCAATACCTTAGAAAGTTCCTTTGACAATTATTTTTGGTGCGATGTATGCAAGTCTCATTCTACCACTAAATGTTTTCAATGTTTCATTGGTCTTTCTGACTTTTGAAAAAAAAAATCTTTTTTTCCTCATAACTGCAAGAATATGAATATTCTCATTCACAACATTCTAATGCAGACCAAAAATATGTATTAACTACATTTGCTTTTCCTACAGCCGTATTTGGGAAAGACAGCTCTACCTTCACCATATGAGATGATAGAAAGTGAGCTCAGAAGCTCAATCAGTACCCATGCATGTAAAATTTCTTCTCAAGCATTTTTAACAGAAGTTTTCATTAGTGATTTTAGCTTATCAGTTGTCAAATTTATTGCTGACATGCAGTATTCCCATTACACCATCTTTCCACGTGTTGTTGTGTTGGATGTGTTGAGGGAAGTCAAGTCACACATGGTTATGAAAAATATGAGCGAATGTATTAGCTCTAAAATTCTCGAGTTCATTTCACCTTTAGACTTGAACTTATTTTTACTTGAAAAGGCCTCCTTATAATATACAGTTGTGGAATTTTTATGTTTTTCAGCATCTAGTAAATCCTATGAACTCCTAGTTCAAAAAAAAGTACTATTTCTATGTTTCAACTTTCATTCTCACTTAATGCTTGAGACTTTTTAAAATAGACTTAAGTTTGAGACGGAGGAAGATCCCACAAATCTCCACTTAAAGCCAGATTCTCCCACCTCAGCATAAATTTAAACTCTGGATAAATATTTACTTTGTAAACCTTACTTTGCTAGTTTAAGATGTTACTAGCTTCTTCTTGTCATTAATGTCCGCTGGAAGGTAGCTTCTACAACTCTGCCAGCGGAAGGAAGGCTGAGGGCACTCTCAGACTGGCTGACAATACTTTGAAAGCACGGCTAGATCTAGGCAGGAATCTTTAGAAGAGACTCTGCAGTTTCACAGACTTAAAGCAGTTTAGAGCAGCTTTAGCTTGAGGGAGATTTCTCTGACCCATTTTTTGATTCTAATCAATATTGCAAAGAGTATTTAAAATCCTAGTAAGAATAAAATCTTTCAACAGAAGTTTTGGAAGTAAAACATTTTTTCTGTAGTGACTATTTCTTTTAACCACAAGTTTTATTCCACTTTATTCATAGCTATAGATTTTTTCTTTTTCTTTTTACCTGCTCACATGGTTGACAAGGCGCGTCTGTAAGAGCAGATCTCTTCCTGGCAGGAGATTATCACAGATTAGATGTTGATTAGACCGCACAGCTACTCCATGACAAACACAGAGAGAACACAAAACATCCAAAACCTGAAAAAAAACAGATTCTTTTCATCTTAACTATTTTTTTCATGCTAAAGAGTTCATAATTACTGTGAGTTACTTCAGGCAATATAATGCTATATACCTTGTTACTGGAAGACATGTAAGGGTATGTAATTCATTCAACATAGTGGTTTTATTTTACAATTCTGAAATTCTCCGAACAATATTAAGAGATAGTCTTCCTGCTTCCATTGAGATTTAGTGTGTATCAATGTTTTCATCAAAAAGAAGATAATGCCACCCTTTGCTTCTTCAAACTGCTCATATGGTTTTTAGGCAAAGTTTCATTCCTAATTACGAATACACTATTAAAGTATTTGAAATCAAACTTCTACACAGAACAACATGCTTGCTTTACTCACAAATGTTCACCTAAATATACTTGTCTCTTCTTTGCCTACCTTATGGTTTCTTCCATGTTTGTCCAAAAGACAGATGATTGACTTAATATGTCCTTCCTTAATAATGTTCAGAGCTTCTGGGCTCTCCACCAACACACAGTGTAAAACCTCTAGAATTCCTGGGGGGAAAAAATAAAAATTATTTATTCAAAGTACATATAAAATCATAACTGCCCATAACACTTCCTAATATATAGCTCAGCAACATGGAATAGTTTCAAAAATCATTGTATGTGATAAACAAAACCAAAATAGGATTTATATTGTACTTCTAGATTTCCCAAAATAAGTGAATGTAGTAAAAATCAGAAAGGATAGGAAAAAAACCTGTAAATTAATTTGAAATTTTAATAATAAATGTGATGGTCAACATTCACAAATTCAAATAAACTGAGTAAAATATTGGTTTTCAGTGGCTCCAAAAAGTGAAAACTTCACAGTACTACATACATATTATACACATAAAATATTGTCTCCATATTTACAGTTTTGTCTCTTCCCTTAGAAAATCATATGAACCACTAATGGAATCATATACCTCTGAATCAGAGAGCAGAGGTGAATTCCCAGGCTACTGGCCCACTGTGTATAATTTTCTTTCTGTATATAATAGCTGTACTGGGAGCCACAGTGATGTTCTTAAAAGATCAAACAAATAGAAACCAGCATGAAACTAAGATGCGCATGGAAGTAAGAACCACTAAATCTCCAGTGGCCCTTCAATTACATGCAATTCCAATCGCAATAAAGCAGCAGTCATTGCCATCACGAATCATTAGCCTTAAAATGGTTCCCTGCAATGGGGCAATAAAACAGGCTCCCATGTGTACTGGATCGAGTCACCACTTGCTTTGGGATCTTTCACATTTGGCAAAGACAAATATTATGCATGTGGTGCGGCATTATCAGTTGCTACAGTTGTGGCCACAATGAGAAAAGCCAGAGCACTGAGGGAAATCTGAGAAGCTGACTTAAACCTAGAGATATGCAATTCCTATTTGCGTTGTACGTCTCTCATCATTCTGTCTTCATCCCTGCATTCCAGCAATGGCCCCAAACACTCAGCTTAACCCTTGCAAAGCAAGATCCATAGCACGAGTCTTCTGCTCTTTGCTACGTGCTCTTTTACTGAAAGAAAATTAACGCTATAAACTCCCCTCGATGTGGGGAAAAAAAAAATCAGACAAAAACGCTGTCTCGGTAAAACTCTGGTCTGCCTTTGATCCTAGTGAGGAAGAGATCATCAGCCTCTATAGCTGAGTAAGACTGGGGTCAGCTAAGGAAAAAACGGTGCAAACTGCTACTAACTGAACACAGCTTTTCAGTCTCAGTGCCAAGACAGCGCGATGACACCAAAATATTGGATTTGAAACGGTCTTTATCCTGATCAGCTGCCTCTCTCTCACCTTAACATTCCAGATTGGACCTAAAGCTTACAAAGGGGAGCAAGTGCTTTTCTGTTTGATTTCCACTGATTTTGAATAAACTACTGAAAAAAATGTGTATCATAAATAAATGACAGTTAATATTTAAGAATTTAAAGACCATGGGTCATCCATATAACTGTCCTCAGTACACATCTGAAGTTTTCTGAATTTTTAAATAATAAAACCAAGTTTTTCAATTTTGTAAACAAAAACAATTAGAAATGCAAATGTAAGGAAAAAGAATATATATTTTGATTGCTCGAGGGATTTTTTACACACACATACATCTTTTTTTTTTTTTTTTTTTAAATAATTCCTGAATAACAATCAAATATAATCTGGAACATTATAACTAACTGATCATACAGCCTCTTACAAACCAAAAATCAAAAGTTAATGGAGCAAGCATTTTAGAGACAACCAAGCAAAAACTAAAAGAAAAGCTGAAAAACAGAAACTCTTAACAGAATTTAAAGTAATGGGTATAAAAAAATTGTTGGAACCAATATATCTGTTTCTGCTAAGTATGAAATGCATACTTATGCAGTGAATAATGAAATGCAATGAAGTAATAACTATGAAACAATCACAGACTGGTATTAAACCATTATTTATGGGGAATATAAATGACCAGGAGTTCCAAGTCTTGTCTTTTATCAGATCAGCAGAAAATCCCATCTGGAGAATTTCCCAAGTATCTTATTGAGGAAAGGAATATTAAACACCATGAACGACTTATTATAGAAATAACGTATCTATGCAGAGATGTGCATTTGTAAACTTAGAGCATGTTCCATTGTTATGCACCAGCAAAGACTAAAATACCTTTCATACATGAATTTATCTTTTTTTATTGTTAATTTCAGACCAACTTGTATTACTCTTACTTGCATTTGGATCAAGGTACAAGTCTATTAAAAATAAAAACACCAACACAACCAAAGAAACTGTAGACATCCTCATAAAGAAAAACCAACAAAAGAATGTTCTTATAAAGGACAGAAATTGAGCTGTGCAGACTTCTTTCAGGGAGATCAAAGGATATGAAGAATGTTATGAACATTATGTCAACAAAGATTTTTAAATTTTTTTCTTTAAACTCAGATTTTTTGATTCCTATCCTTGTTAAGACCAGGTTACTCTGCCAGAAGAGACAATGGTTACTTTTAAATTACTTGCTATTGGAAAGGTAGTTTTATGTTTCAGAATTAAAATAAGGATTGGAATTTCCAGTGACTTCAGTCATGGCTGCAGTCATCTGACTTCAGATGTCTCATTTTAATCTCAGACAGCCTACAGGACCATCACCTTTTATCCTGATGCTATTTAATGTTTTTATCCAGGGATCTGGAGGAAGGTATGCTTTCATCACTAATAAAGAGTACAGATTACTCAAGGACTGAAATGTAGTAAAGGTGGAAGGCACTTGATTTATCTGGTAAACAGGTTTCAAATAAAGTGTGTGTTTTAATATGTTTGAGGATGGAGTCATACAAATGAAAACAGAAAATGCAGGTGACCTTGTACAGATATTGTAGACAATCTTCCTATTCTGTGCAGTGGCTCCAAAAAAAGTCACAACCACAATATAATGAGCTAGACATGAACGCCCAAACTGATTCTGTAGCCTGAAGGTATAAGCAGAAAGTCTCAACTACAAATAAGAGAACATATTAAACCTGGATTTGGCAGTGGTATGATCTAGACTGCAATAAATGCACACTTCCAATATTGACAGTAACAACATTGATAAAAAGGTTAAAAACCTAGAAGTCATGAGAGCAAGATAAAGGAGTAGATGCCCTGCAGCAACACAGCGGGAGCACAATCCACCCAGCCTGCCAACTAGACAGGCAGGGGTCACTTGAAGTATAGGATATATGAATCATATATGAAATTTATGAAGTATATGATAAAAGTATCTAGGGAGGTAAGAAAAGTGTTACAAAAAGATCCCTGATCTAGAGGGGTAATCTGTAACAAGATCAACAACTTTATTGTGTGCCACAGTGATCTGGTAATGCAGGGAAATCACTACATTCAAAACTTGGTACTTTAAAGTTTAACACCTCTCATTGTAGCACTGAAACACACTTTTAACAATGCAAACAGTAATCCAATATGAAATGATACCACACAATGTGTGGTAACCATAACCTTGGAATTTTCAGATTTGTGTAGGTAGACTCATAATCTTAATTTTGTCTTAAAATTCAGGGTTCATTTTCTAGTCTTAACGTTCTGTTTTCAATAATAGAAGTAAAAATACTTTGAAGATGTAAATATCCAATAATAAATGAATGTTATCAATTAAACCCAGCTGCCAAAGCAACTTCTTCAATTACTGCAGCACCTGAATGCTAATTATCAAACACATTTTCTTCTAAGGGAAATTCCTTCTATTTCAGAAAAAAATCTCATATGAAGGCACAATGTCTGCTCGGACTGATCCACTTTTAGATTGTCTACATTAAAGACAAGTGGACCCATTCTAATTTCATTGGGGTTGCTCAAGGCAGTAAAGCAACTAACTTGCTCTATCCTATTTTTTTATTACCTATGTTTTAATGCCTTTAAAATTTTAGGAGGACTAGTTAATCCCATCTGCAATATATTTCAGAGCAAAAAACTCATCTAATCTTAATTTATGCATTGAAGAGACATCTGAAGCATTTGTATTGCATTATTCACTCAGCTCCTGTGGTATCTCACTTCTAACATGGTCTACTCTTTATACTACATTTATACTTGAACAAATCTTCCTTTTCTTTTTTGCTTCAGCGAAGATCAGGAACTGAACCAATTTCTAATCTGATTTGTACAATCAACTCACAATTGCTGTTTATATATTTAATGCCTTTATTCTGTTTGCATAACCTTTTTAGTTTGAGGATAAGAAAAAAGCAAAAATAGGAATTTTATTAATAATAGTTTATAGCATCAAATCTTTATCACAACACATTCAAGGCAACGCCTACGGGAGATTTAGCTAACAGCTTCAATGTTGAAGGTGAACTTAATTTTGGTGTGATTGACAGAGCGTGGTGTTTCTTCCTCACAAACACTCTACCTTAGAAAATGAATTAATTATTTTAGGTGAATATATACAGACAGGTATTCTTATTTAAAACTTGTAATATAATCTAGTGTTTCTCCCTATTGTAGATCTACCACTGTAGATTAAAACAGTGAATATCCTCACCTCATTCAAGCCATATAAAGCTTAAAATCTGGCAAGCAAGCATACCACATAAAATCACAAAAACACATTTACATACTAAAAGCTAAACCTACTGTGCCTCTCAAGATAACTAAAGCACAGCATAATTAGCATCTCATATAACTGACTCCCTCAAAAACTGAAAAAGTCTTAATTATACAATCAATTTTGGAGGCAATATGGAAGTTATGTTACCAGAACATATGGTGAAGGAGTTCAAGTGGCCTGGTTCCTAGAAGAAGACTCAGGACAAACAACCACTGCAAATACTAGTACCTTCAGAATTTTTGCAGCATGTCATGAGGTTCATTATGCAGTACAACTACAACATCAGATTACTTTGCAGTCTACAGAATTCATCTCATACCTTGCTATAATATCATAAACATTTAGATTTTGATTTTCAAGCCTTATTTTTACTTTGAGATTAATTTCTAAAATTACATACGGAACAGAAACCATGTAATACAGCATTTTCAGAGCTGTTGTAACAAATTTCATATTGAATCTCCAAAAGCTGAGTGCAAAGTTTTCAATTATTTTTGAAAATCCTAGCCCTGAGAGTTTCAGATGTAAAGTCAGGTCTTTTAAGAAATAATATAACCTTGAGTAACTGGGGAAATACATCGAACTTAAGAAGCTTTCAGTCAAATCCCCTGCAACTGCATAATCATGAGAACATTCTCCTTAGACAAGTGCCCTCACACCAAAGGTGGACTGTAGTGGAGGAAAGATCTAGCCTGCGATTTTGCCAATTTTTAAATGCTTGTTTCAGTTTAAATTCTCTGTTACTCCAGTGTTCATGAAAGCAAAAAGATCATGGCATCTGCAGAGCAGGTTTCCCTAACAATAATGTAAACCAACATGAATGTTCGGTTATGACATCTATTTGGTTAGGATCTCTACAGCTAATATACTAGCTACGGTGACAGGATGATCAGCAAACCTCTAACTAGACACCAGTGCACCACCCTAAAGCCATAGTTCTGCAGCAAAAACATGAAACAAAATGCTGCAAAAATACTTCTATGAAACATTGCTGGCTTAGAGGGGCTTACATGGGCAAATGCCTCAAAGTCTCTATACCAGCCTCCACCCCAAGAGAAGAATAACTGACTTCTAACCTCTGCTTGCTCCAAGAGTTGACAAAGGAAAAAACTTCCAAGAGGAGAAGCATCAATGTATAACTGCTCTGTGCAACTGCAGTTACCCACTGCAGATCTTGCCAATAAGGCCATGGCAGTTCACCCTGGGCTCCAAGAGGGCGAAAACTCCTACCGCTGACATTTGACAATATTTTGTATTAACAGTAATGACAAAGCAAAGCACACATGAACTACAGGGAGATGAAAAAACAGGCAATAAAATTTTAAAACACAGAAATCACTCCACATTAAATACTGTTCAAATCTGTTGCTCTTCCTGCAGTGGATTCAAAATACCTTCTGTGTGCTATTAATAGTTAGCTCTTGAAATCTAAATTGATACCTACACTCACTATGAAAAGATAAACATGAACTAGAAACAGAAGATCAAATAATATCAGACAAGGGATATCAATTACAGTAGCTAGAACCAGGCAATAAAAGAGACAGGTTAAGAGAAGTCTCTATCTAACATTACAGTAAAAACCGTTATTACATTTAATATAAGAGCTTCTATTAAATTTGTTGGACTACAATTCTGAGCATCACAAATATTTATACCGCAATGTTTTTAAAGTCAAATTACAATGAAAAATATAAATTAGAAATCCATTAACATTAGCATGCATTTAATAAAATGAAACAAACTATTGTAATTGAGATTGTCTCTGGTAGCACAAGCATTACGAAACTGTGGTTAGCTTCTCTGTTGCTTACTATTCTTCTCCCCGCTGGACTACTTTTTACTCATTATTGACTTATAACATAGAATTTTTTCAACTTCTGTACTAGAACATATATTCCAAATACATTTCCTATGAACATTTAGTGGTTTCTCCTAGTATACAACTTAAGATTTGTATAATGACAAAAAAAATATGCTTCTAGACTATATTAATGACCTATATAAAACAGTTGAAATATCTCAAACCAAAACTGGTTTTATTACATTATTATTCCATATGTTAACATTACTGAGCATTACATGTACAACTTCTCCAATTTGTATTACTTATATTTCTCTATTTCTCTCTTCACTTCTAGTTACAGAGAGAAAGCAACTTAATACAACTGAAACTGGAGAACAACTGTTTCACCAAATGGTTTGTTTGCCTGAATTAAAAGATTACATTACAACCAACTGGTCAAGAAAAAGGAAAGACTGCCAGAACTTAAGGCAGAACTACAACCAAAATCAAAATTCAAAAATGTTACAAATATAAAACTCACTTTATTAATATAATTTACTTTCTCATAGGAAGAACTTCATGATAATAAAACTGAACAAGTATATAGCCAATTTTAAAGAAGATAAAATTGGTCAAATAATGAAGTTAAAATGTGGAAAACCATACCAGAGGAGGCTTCCAATCTTTCTAATCTGCTGATCAACCAATCAAGAGATCCAGAAAATTGAGCACAGTTTTTACGATTCCCTCGAATCAGAGCCGCTATTGGAAAAAGAGAGAGGAAAAAAATTTTAAAAAGAAATTACAATTATTAGTCCATTTAAACTAAAATAATCCCTGTCTTATCCTTCTAGGAAGGATCCAGTAAGATACATCCTTAATCTTTAATTATTGATGTTCTTGATTTAAATTGAAATAATGTGAGTGATGGTTAGATTAAAGCATAAAAATTACTCTTGGTATCAAATTGGCCTTTAAGATATTTAAATTATTTTGGTTTTATAATCATCTCAATAATCCCTGCAAAATGCTCTACATGAAGTAGCCAGTATCGACACCACAGCAGTCAGCTCCTACTGTAGAAATAAAATTTCTGTAAAATAGTATTCTTGTAATGACAGGAAATATTGGAAGAGCAGAATGTGAAGCCAACAACATAGGCAATGAACGCAAATTATTTTGCACAGATACCATACCTTTGTTGAAGAATAATAGCAACTAAAAGAAGATAAATGTCAGGAACTGTTTGTCATACTGACAGGGCTGTAGGGAGGAAGTAACTGGTTTGAAAGTGTTTGAGCCTCATGCTTCAAGCTGAAGATTGCAGCAGACGGAATGCATGCACTGACTTGGTGGGTATAACTGACTAGAAATCTCTCAGAACACTGTGGGCACCCACAAGCCTGCCCTGTCCTGGAATACATGTGTTTGCATGGACGTGCATACACATGAGCTCTCAGAGAAGCATCTGTTCTACTCAAAAAAAAAAAAAAAAAAAAAAAAAACAAAAGTGAGGTACTAACATTTCAGTTTGGTGTGTAGAACAGTGCAGACCGCTTTTCCTAAGATTGTTTTCCAATTCTGCCAATAAATTATTTTAACCTGAAAATTCTATAGCTATTTTCAGCAGCAGAGACCATTGCTCCTGCTAAGAGGCAATAACCTCTTAAAATATACGTTCTATTGCTGTAGAAATTCACTACATTATATTGCAAGTGTGGTTTTATACTGTTTCATTTATAAAAGGTTAAACTTACAAACTTATGACATCAACATGATATGAAACTATATCTCCAAAGGTGAAAAGCAAACTTAGATTTAGTTGCAAACAAGTCACTGCACTGACAGTTGTGTATCACGAGGAAAGTGACCACAATCCAATTGCTTCATAGCCAAAAAAATCCCACCACCAAACAAACAAAACTCAACCCCTAACAAGCAAAACAAACAAAAAAAGCCACCTTTCTCTTGCTGTATTATACGATAAAAAAATTCTATACACTGAAATCTTACATAGTTAATTAATCATTACTATAGTTATTTGAAAATACTTGGGAATCCTAAGAGGAGGAGCATCTTGTTAAACGACACAGGTTAGAACTAAGGAACACTTATTTCTGTTAAGTGACTTTTTTTATTGATTATATGCAAGCCACATAATCTCACTGTGCTTCAGGTACAAATATAAAATGAAGGCAGTAATACTTCATTGCTTAACACGACATCAATAAATTTAACTTCGTTAACAGTAATAAGACACAGATGGTTTCATAAATGCAGCTCAGCAGAAGTTTGTGAAAGGCTAATATTCAGCAGTTAAAGCTGTGCATTAAATGAGGCACACAGCCACTTAACACTGAAAACAAAAAATAATGTCCAACAGTTGCTTCTTTTCTTGCCCACTACTCTGAACAAGACTAGCATCCAGTTTTAAAGAAATAAAAACAAAACCAGGATGTAGTCAGTCAGACATTAAAGTCACATCATTACATATTACATTCCAGCCACCCCAGCCAATAAGTCAGCCTCATCAGGGGCACAACTGAAATGCCTCTGCGCGAATGCACGGAGCATGGGGAATAAACAAGAGGAGCTGGAGACATGTGGGTGCCTGCAAGGCTATGACATTATTGGCATTACAGAGACGTGGTGGGACAGCTCCTGTGACTGGAGTGTTGGGATGGAAGCGTACAGGCTCTTTAGGAAGGACAGGCGGGGCAGGTGAGGAGGGGGCATCGCCCTCTATGTCAATGACCAGCTGGAGTGCATGGAAGCTCCACCTGGGGATGGGTGAGGAGCCCACCGAGAGCCTATGGGTCAGGATTAAAGGGAGGGCTGGGGCAGGGGACATCATAGTGGGGGTCTGCTACAGGCCACCTGACCGGGGGGGTCGGAGCAGATGAAGTCCCTATAGGCAGATAGGAGCAGCCTCACGCTCACAAGCCCTGGTCCTTATGGGGAACTTCAGCCACCCTAACATCTGCTGGAGGGACAACGCAGCTGAGCATAAGCAATCCAGGAAGTTCCTGGAATGTGTCGATGACAACTTTCTCCTCCAAGTGACAGAGGAGCCCACGAGGAGAGGTGCCTTGCTGGACCTTATTCTCATCAACAAGGAGGTCCTAGTGGGGATGTCAAGCTCAAGGGCAGCCTTGGCTGGTCCTAGTGGGGATGTCAAGCTCAAGGGCAGCCTTGGCT